AGGCGCTGTATTTCAACAGGACAATGCCCGCCCTCATACTGCTCGGATTGTTAAATCCTTCTTTGCAGCGCAGCAGGTACAGCTTCTTCCTTGGCCTGCGTGTTCCCCGGATATGTCGCCAATTGAACATGTGTGGGATGTCATTGGTCGGCGTCTTGCTCGTGATCCTCGTCCTGTTGCGTCTGCAGACGAACTTTGGGTACGCGTACAAACGATATGGAATGCTCTTCCTCAGTCAGACATTCAAACTTTGTTTGACTCCATGCCACGTCGTGTAGCAGCACTTATTGCGGCGCGTGGTGGCCACACAAAATACTGATTCTGATCTCTTGTTCTTGTTTGTTTGCTTTGAACATTTAATCATTTATTTGTACCACTACCACTCAACTGTGTATTAAATTGCATTCAATTATGACGATTCCTTCTTGGTGTTGCAATTTTCACAAACGTGAGTATATTATTCATGCTTTCTTTCGGTCAGAGAAAAGGGACAAAATTGACGTATTACATTTACTACTTTTCCTTGATTTTTTCAAGCTGGATTTGTTCTTTACCGCTTGGGATATGTTTCATATGGATAGAAGTCTCTTTTTGACCATGGCAAGTGTCATTGTTTCGTATTGTGTTTTGATTGCAACCATTTAGTTTGATGGTAATGTTTCAACTAGTTCAAAATTAACAAATATTACTTTTCTTTATAACATAAAAACATACGTAATACATTTACGTATTTGTGAAGGTTAGGATTTATCTCAGGAAATGCAAGAGTCATTAAAGAATTTTACAGAATACATTAATGTAAATGTTATATTGCAACTTATAGTAACGATATAACTTTCTCATTAAAGACCATCGTATTAAAGTTTACTTCTTGCTTTCAGAAAATAACTTTAAAATTCAAGCAGAAACTTAATTAAGTAATCAATTTATGCTATCTAATAGTTTTACGTTTGATCACGAGCATTTAGTTTTAACTGTGCAACAATTAAAATAAGAAAGTTAATTTTTAGGAGTTGAGATTTCCTGTTCTTTTTTATTTTTTATTTTTTTTTATTTTTTTTTTCGGTCAAGCCCGTTTTCATTCAATCTGAATAATTATACAAATCTTAATTAAATAAGTAAAATGCTTAAATACTTCTTGGTGCTCAACAGGTGATTAGAAAGACAGCTTTCATCTTAGGAGTTTACTCGACAATGAGAATAAAGTCTTAGAATTAAATAAATAAAGCTTAAATTTGACTTCTAGTACTTAAGATTACATGATTTCTACCTCTTTGTTGTTTAATTATGCAATTTAATGCAAGTGCCAGCTTCTTTAAGCAAGTTACATTTATGCTCTGCAAATCAGAAATTTGTGTTTTGTTAGTTTATAAAAAATTTCTAAAGCAAATATATTAAATATAAAAATAGAGCAATGACAAATATGGTTTAGTTGCTTCATTCATTTTGTAAAATATTATTAATTTTTTGGGCCATAATTCATCTTGATACTGAATATAGCCAAAGTTCAGTTTTTAGACATACCACTTCAAGAATGTTTTAGGCTATAAGGGAATTAAGTAATGTATTTGCAGTTTTAGGAATAAGTTGCAAATGTTAATCACTTGTATAAAGTTTAGAAGAAATCAAAAGCAAATTGTTCAGTTTATAGACCAGAAAAGAGAGAACACACAAGTTTGTTCAAGTATTTCCAAAGCTAAAATTGTTCAATACTTATCAGTTTGATGTCTTTTGCTAGGGTTGAGCTATATTTTGGTACAAGTTGCGTTCAATTTTGTAATAATCACAATTTTATCTCTGCGAAAATACATGAATAGATTCATACTACTTGAAGGAAACAAATAAAACAGCGTGTTTAGTGTGTTTATGTGTATGTAGGCATGACAATTTTAAACATGCGCTACCTTTAAAGATTTTAAAACCTGTAAGGGAATGATAATTAGACCAAAGTCGATATGTTACATTTCAGAAGCAATTTAGGTTTGATTAGTATTTTCCGGGATAAAAATTAACAAGCCTGATGAAAAATACTGACTGCCGTAAGAGTATGTTGCAGCAAATAAGTTTGTTTATAATGCAAATAAGTTTTTATTTTGTTATGTAATTTTAAAATTTAAAGTCATATATAATTTTTAAGTAGATTTAATATTTCACAGGTTTGATACCAATTTGTGATGTATATTAGATTCATCTTACAAAATAGTGTAAAGCAAAAGAAACAAAATTTGTGAATAAAAACATGTACGTATTTTAATAAATATGTAATACGCTAAGTAAATTCATGTGTTTATATATATATGTATACATTTTGCAATAGTTTGTTTTCAGTTTCAGTTATAATTTTTTTCTAGTTAAAACATTTTATTTTGTAAAATCAATAAATTTTTCACTCTAAGCTGTTAAGCTCTAGAATTTATTATTTTATATTTAAAAATTATTCTATAATACTTGTACATATATATTAAATGCATAAATAATGTACATATATTTATCTTTTCCAAGGTTTCCTGCATTCTACAAATTTATGTTTTCATCGAATACATTTTTGTTTATAAAATTTTATGCATTAAGTAAGATTTAAAAATTTTATGTTCCTATTCAAATTATCCTTACTAGTTTATTAAAAAATACTTTGCTGACAGCATATGTGTAATAAAATGATAAAAATGTGGTGCACTTGAAATTTCATTTACAGGTTAATTATACTAGCTACTTGACCAAAAATTATAATGAAGAGACTAAATGAATTTATAATTCCAGAATTTAAATATAATTTAGGAAAATATAGCTTAGAACCCAGACCGTGGCGATTTTATTGAAAGCTATTACAAAATTTGGCCATTACAAAACGTTGCATTTATGCCATTACAAAATTTGTCTATTAGTGTTTGAATTAGTTTTTGAGTGCCACTAAAGAAATTAACTATTAAGAGAGTATAAAATATATTTCTTTCTTTTTTGCACTTCCAAAAAAATTTTTTTTGTAACAAAGAGTACGTTTGATTTAAAAAAAAATAGTAATGAGTCTTTAATTAACTTTTGAGGTAATACATATTTATGAAAAATATTTTTCTTTAAAAACATTGGATGAAAGATGCAGCTTAAGTTACGGAAATTTTACTTTCAATGTTTTAACACTCTTTGCCGCAAAAATAATTCTTTAAACAGTTTATATGCATGTGATCAAGACATTATATGTGATATTTCCTTCGCAAATATATCCCATTTTATTTAAATTTAAATAATAAAGCAAATATATTTTTGATGCTTTGATAAATATCTGCACATGCTTAATAGCTTTAGTGTTCAATAAAGTGTATAACTTGTTTTTTAATTGTGTTTTAATTGAATAAAATTGTGTTCTTGATTGATTAATACAGTCTTTTCTCACTGCCAAAATTTCCCTGTTATTTTGAAGTAAACATTAATTTCGCATTTGAGATAAGTATCATGCAATGACCTGCTAGAACCTTCCGGAAGAAAAAATTATTTTTACTTAAGCAAAACTAGAGCTGATGACTAAATTTTAATCTTAATCAATGAAGAGACTGAAAATTAAGTTTATCGAATTTATGGCATCAATATTTTAATAAACTTTGAAAAAGTTCTATTGAAAAAAACTGAAATTTTCTTATTCAAATACTTATGGCTCAACCTCATATTTTGAAATAAAACCCATTCGTAACCATGATAAATAATACAAGCACTTTAATTTTTGCTGCAAAAGTACTCCATCAAAATAACACAGCGCAGCGGTTCTCAAACTTTTTTCAAGAGGGAATACTTTTATAAATTATAATGTTTAGAAGACCACAATTACTCTTGTCCCATTCCAATTTAAAAGCAGTTTTATAGCGTATGTTTCTAAAATAAAATTAAATAAATTATGTATTGATATTAAGTAATTAAGTTAACAGAAGAAAATTTATATTTATTTTGAATAATTAAAGACTATTAAAGTTTGAATACTATTTATCTTCTTAATTAAAAATTATATAAATGCTGGTGCTCACATTAATGAGATGGATAAGCCTACAGATTCTTGCACAGCTGTTCTGTGTCTGGATATATGCTGGTAAGAAGTACCATAGTTACACAACTTAAATCTATCATTTGTAGCTAAGACTAGAATAGAATGTCCGTGGTAGGGTAACTAGTAATAAATTTCATAAATTGCCAGTCGTGGAAGAAAACATGGTAAATGAATGCCATGCGTAATATCTAGACTTTAAGATCTTCAGCTGTAGTGTGGTATACGTAGTAAAATTGAATTTTATTTTTCTACTTTTGAAATCTACGAAGACCACAAGCGAAGTTCGCGGACCAAAGATTGAAAAGCGCTTACATAGTGAATTTTTTGCTTTTCTAATATTGAACTAGAAAGTAAATACAATCTATATTTACTTTTCAAGCGCAAATTTCGAACTTCCTACTATGAAACTTCTCTACGACTGATTCATCACTATGTTAGTATGTCACCACATCATCTTACTTAATATAAAGGTGAATTATGTGTAAAGGAATAAATTATGCAGTAGGGTATGGGGTAGATCTTTGTGGATCTGATACTGATTTGTTTCAAACTGTGCTGCCATATTATATATGCCTGCAAATATATTAGGTATTCAAAAGCATTAACAAATAAAAGTAGGATTACTTACAAAGAATGCTGATAGTACCAAATATGTCCTTTTAGACAAAGAGCTCTAATCAAAGTCGAAAAGGTGAATTTTTTACTTGGTATTTTTATATTCGCTTGAGATAGCACTCATAATATTAATGAAATGTAATTAAGTAAGTACTATATTCTAGACACAGTTAACTTAAAAAGGCTTCAGAAGACAATCTGTAGCATGTTTAAAAAAATAATTAGTTTAGACCCTTTACATGTCAAAGTAAGGGTTTAATATAAAGGTACAGAGACTTAAATTGTGTACGAAACTGAAGAAGGGATCTTTATGAATTATATATCATGTTTTTCTTCAATGCCACCATGTTAGGTTGTTGACATGCGTTGGGGTGTAAGAGACGAAGCTACGGACGATCATATGACGACGGATCTGTGTATGAGAGAAATTGAGAATTGCCAAAGATTGTCCATGGGCCCCAATTTTGTGGTAAGTATAACTTCAGCTTATCATTCTAATGAATTCTTTTTATTGGAATTTTTAAATAATAATGCCTTTATGGCTAATGATGTTTTTGAAATAATTAATTAAAATAAATATTTCGATGTAACACAGTTTGGATATATTTAACTAAAAATCAGGATAAATTGAACTCTGTTAGTGTAAAGAATAACAAAATTTTGCTGAGATTTTAAAAACCCCTGTGTTGTTACTTATAAAAGCTAATATTATTACAAATACTTTTTCTACAATCTGGTTTTCCCATTTTGAAAAAAGATTTTGTATTTTACATTGTAGAGTCATTAGGATTTTAAGCAGGAAACATGAAGAATGAGCAATACCCTCTCCGAGACTCGAATTTGGACCCCTCGAATACTCGCCAAGTGTGCCACAGTTACACCACGAAGGCATGCAGAAAGGAGGGAGAAAATACCCTATATACTCTTCCTTTTAAAGGGCGACTGGAGATTGGGGAACCCCGTCGCCTAATCTTGGCAGTGAAGAATCATCATCCACCACACCTTTTTAGTTCGGGCGCCACTGTAGAGACATTAGGTTATTTTGAAGCAGATGACGTGAAAAGTGTGAAGTACCCTCGCCGGGACTCGAACTTGGACCTCTCGAATACGCGCCGATGAGTGTGCTACCGTTACACCATGAAGGCATGCTGGAAGGAGGGAGAATACCTTACATACTCCACCTTTTAAAGAGAGAATGGGTATTAGGGAACCCAATCGCCAAATCCTTGTGGTGACGAATTATTGTCCATCACCTTTTAGTACCCACTGTAGACTCATTAGGTTATTTGGAAGCAGGAGACGTGAAAAATGAGCAATGCCTTCGCTGTCACTCGAAACTGTACTTCTCGAATATGCGCCCACTGTGCTTACCATTACAACACGAAGGCATGCAGAAAGGAGGGAGAAAGCCCTTTATAACATCTCTGATTTCTGATGGATTATTATTTTTTTTTGAATTATTATAGGCATACACTAAATTTTTAAACCTTTAATGATAGGCACTTCGAGGCATTTTGCAGATTGATTTTTCAGTTTTTGGAATTCAGTTCTTTTTAAATTATCAATTTATGTTATTCATAATATTTAAATGTCTTTACTAATTTCAAGTGACGGGACAGAGGACGAATATAGATTGAGAATATGTATGTTTGCAACATAAAGATTCAGTAATCCTCGCAAAGAATATCTTATGATCTTGAAATTTATGTTTAAAGAATTCGAAAGTCCAGTTTCGAAGACAGAACTTAAAGGTCATTTGTACTCAAACAAAACAAAATAATAAAAATCAAATCTTTTCATTCCTAAAAGAAGAACTTTAAAGACGCAGACTTATAAAAACTATTATTTTCTGTTGCTCTGAATAGAGTAAATTTCAAAATTTACATCGGAGCATGCACCTTGAATATAGCTCTGTCTGACAGCTCAGTCACAGAACTTCAATAGAACCAAAGAACTCATTAAAATTTTATTGCTTCATTGGTCATGCACACCGTATGGCGAGCTAAGATATGTTTATTATACCCTCTTCCTTCTATGATTTTATAGAAGCTCTCTCGCATAACCTTTGTTTGAAACAGAGAACAGTGGGGTGAAGATGAATAAAATTAACGTAAAGGTATTTTCTTTTACGAATGGTATATGGATCCTAATATCCTAAGCCTGAATGATTTAAATGGTTAGTAACCTTTTCGTTAAAACTTGCAGAGATTCTGAAAAAGTATGAAAAGTAAAAAAAGTTTTAATCGAAGACATCCATACAATTTGTTATATCCGATTTTCGTACTCTTGGAAGTTCGCTATAAAAGTATACGAAACTGGATGGGATCAAAAGGTTCATCAGTTATATACGAGGATTCGTTATAGTGTTCAAACATCTTTCGAAGTTCTTATTTAATGTTTTTTAAACAATATTTCCTTCACAGACATTCCTGGGGCAAAAGTATGGATACCGGCCCATACCGACCATCATTGACGGAAAGGAATTTCGATTAATCAGAGACGTACTAAGTCTTATGTCATTAGATACATCCCTTTTGGATCGGTGGTACCGAGAGGATACCAATGCAGTGCCATCGGTCTTTGTTCTACAACCAATCAGCTCTATTCTCGTTCATTTCAATAACAAGGTAAGACAGCGATTAGCAAATCATCGCCTAGAAAATAAATAAAAATAAACAAAATCTGAAAAGTTTCAGATTTTAAATTACGTCCAAAGGGACTTTTTTTTAACATTTTGTGTGTTACCTTTATTTATGAAATATCATATTCTTCGTACTTAAACCATAAAATTTAGTTCAAAAGCAAATAATTTTAAAATGAGCATATCCTTAGAATTTCCGATACACAGTCTCGTGCGCTGGAGATAAAAATGTGTTTTTATGTACAATGTTGCCATTGCTCGCTTTGAAATCCTTGAGTTTGTAAGATTCTAACTTGTGTACTTTTAAGTTAAAGAATCTTAAGAATTGGTAACCAAATAATAGCTTGAGTTCGTGTGACAGTAAATAGAACTTGAGAAGGGTTAAAGACCCTTTATTATTCCAAATTAATTTCACAGAACTCCTGCTTGGAGTTTTACAATAAAGCCTCCACTCGGGCTTGAACTCAAAAACTAAGAAATTAAAACTTAACTAATCTTAACTAAAACAATATAGCCGAACTATCAGAATTCTAACAGAGTTGGCCCCTTAGCTCTAAATAACGGCGAAGCTATCAAGGAGCTAAGTCGTCACTACCGGAAAAACAAGGCCTCGACACTGCGATCGTGACGTCCACTAAGTAGCGGGTAAAAGGAAACAAACGGCTAGCAGCTTCTTCTAGGCAGCACGAATTTTCTTCTTCAAAAATTAGAAGTTTCATTGTTTATTCCCCAAAATAAAAAATAATGTAAGTAAGTAAAATACGTAAAAAAACTAAATTAGGTGAATTTTTGCTTTATGCATGAACATTTCAAGGGTATTTAAAAGACTGGCACATTATGGTTTCCATACATTTTTCGCCATGTGAGCCAATAAATTCCTTTTTACTGTAAGAACGGCAAAATGTATATTATTTTCCCCTTGGGTGCCAAGAACATCTACTTTCAACTTTGTATTAGCGCCGTAACGAAGTTCGTTTGCTGTATGTTTAAAATATGTGGTTATATCTAAATCTAAACATGCATGTAGATGAAACAAACTCATGTCCTTGGACATAATCATGACAAGAAAAAACTGCAAGCAGCAGATCATCTAAAGGAAGTGTTACATTATGGTGGTGATGACATGGAAAGCTCAGATATTTAATCAGCTATATGAAATATTATACAGAATAACAAAAATATATTTTATTGATTTAATTATAAATTTTTTCTTAAATATTAAAATATATTCAAAATGATGCCATAAATCAAAATTAGAAGCTGTTTTTAAAAATTTAATAAATAAATATAAGTTTTGATATATATTTTACTCTTACTTAATATTTTATTGACATTGCTATATAGAATAACTAAAGTAACACGTTTTTAGGGAGTAACATGTGAAATTTAAGTAAAACTATAGGTTAGCAATATAATAGTAAAGTGATGTATTGTGAATAATGTTTGTGTACAGCATTTCATACTTTTGAAAGCCAATTAAACAAAAAACTGAATTCAGCATTTTTAAAGCTAATAAATGAAGTAGTGGTATATTATATATTATAATGCATGAGGATATCCCTAAATTATTTTCTAGCATATAAGCTGTAAGCTTACATTGAGATTAACAATATTTGAAATAATGAATAGGAAGGTGATATGTATCTTGTGTTATGTTTATTTACATATCATACCACATAAAATTAATTATATTGAATTCAGAAAGAACTTAATAAATATAATCTAATAATGTGAAAGCATTTATAAGTTATTGTCTAACATATGAAATGTAAGTAAAGTTAGGTGAGTAAGTATATGAAATGCAATGGTAAGTGAATATTCATGCGCTACATTTGTCTACAGAATGTGACACAGCATATAAAATTAATTCTGTTGAAACCAATTGTGCGAAAACAAGAGAACCTAGGAAAAGCTAGTGAATATGTAATGATATACTACAATATAAAAGCATTTATAAGTCAGTTTTCAAGTTATGCAACTAGGAGAAATTCTTTATATTCAGTTTCCATGCATTTGTTATCATTCTTTGTTATCATGAAAATATACCATTTAGTAGTATAGTTTGATCATTTGCCAGATAAAAGAGTATTTTAAACGTTTGATGGGGAAATGTTTGGCATAATTTCTGGTTAACTACTTTTTGTTACTTCTTTCGGTTTTCTTTTGTTGCTTTGTTATATTCTTAGAATTTGAATTATAAGAATGACTGTAACAAATGCATAAAAAGTTGCTTTTCGATTTAAGGAACAACATGAACTCCATTTATTTTAGCACCCTGAATATTTTTTTTTTTTGTAATCAAAATTTTAAAATCTTCATCTTTTTCTTTTTTACCTACTTCTGGACAAGTTTTTAAACAAATGTATTTTCTTAAAATTTTAGAAATTCATTCTGGCATCTGTCTCCAGATTACAGATTTTTAAAGTATTCATTAATTTCAGATTCTTTTTTATTTACATTGGTAAAGATATTCCACAGAAAAGGGTTTTGAAGTTGAAACTTAACTTACCTATTCTTTTACGTGCGCTTCGTTTTAACATTTTTTACTCAGCACTAATTTACAATAAAGGCAACTTTTAGTTCACAGTTTACTTAACCTAAAATATTAAGGCGCTCACAGCTTTCTTTGCTTTCAAGCTAGCTCACTTTTGAATAGAAATTTATATCTTTTTCTTGACAAGAAACCATTCACAACAGATACAGTTATTCACTTTGTAGTTAATCACTTAAGTTAGTTAATTTATTAGTTAATCACTTAACTAATATTAATTTAGAAACAAATATTTTCTTGCTTTTTAACTCTCTAATCGGCAAGGCCGTATATACACTGCTGGCCATTAAAATTACAACACCGTAGAGGAATGATCTGACGAACGTCAAAATCAGGTGAAGGGAAAAAGAAAAAAAAAAAAAAAAAAAAAAAAAAAAAAAACAAAAAAAAAAAAAAAAAAAAAAAAAAAAAAAAAAAAAAAAAAAAAAAAAAAAAAGAAGCTGGGATGTGCAAATGATTAGTATTTCAGCACATTTAGACGATGCAGGAGGGAGAAAGGACGTCTAAAGCACTGCGTAAAAGAAAAGTAGTGCTGTAGATTTTTCATTTGGAAAGCGCTTTGTAAGATTGGAGTTTGCTCAGAATATCATGTTATGCCTCGAATAAGAAGAGGAAATGTTTACAAGCAAGTGTCGGAATTCGATAGAATCAGGATCGTTGCCTAATGAGAATGTGGATTATCGTTCTGTGATATCACCCGTCACACTGGTCGACATCCAACTACTGTCATGTGAATATGGAATCAATAGGTTGCTGAGGGTCATACTGAACAGCATGCAGGATCTCAATGCCCTCCCATGACTAACGCCCAAGAGGACAGACATAATGTGATGTCAGCCATGCAATACTCTACGACCACATCACGGACCATTAGTCAAGAAATGGGCATGTTTGCAGCATGCCCAGTATCAGCTAATTCGGTCTGTCGATGTTTGCAGCAGTGTGGACTATCAGCACTGCGACCATTGCTTAGTCTTCCCATGACAATACAGCATAGAGAGAGATGGCATCTCTGGTGCACCAAACGGTAAAGCTGAATATAAGACTGGCACAATGTCGCCTTTTCAGACGAGTTCTGGTTCTGTATGCAGTATTCTGATGGCCGTATACATGTCTGGAGTGTCCGAGGAGACCACACATCGCCTGCTTGCATTCGATATTGGCACAGGGGCCCTGGACCTGGTGTAATCATTTGGGCATCCATTGGGTACACGATGCGCACATCTCTAGTTCAGATCAACAACAGTTTTAACACAGATCGGTGCATTTCTGATAACTTACGTCTAGTGGTTTCGCACTATCTTCGAGGCTCCCAGACGCTGTCATCCAACAAGATAATACAAAACCACATGTTGCATGTTGTGTTCTGACCTTCCTTGATACACAGGGTATTCGACTGCTGGCCTGGCCTTCCAGTCTCCAGATCTGTCACTTGTTGAAAACATTTGGTCATATGTTGCTAAGAGGCTGGCCGGCCACCCCTCTCCAGCTAATATGGTTGATGAAGTGTGGCGTAGATTTGAAGCAACATGGAATGAGTTGTCCGTTTTGGTTATCCAAACCCAGTTTGACTCTATGCCTAATGGGGCAAGTGCCGTTTTACCTACCAGGGATGGTAGCTGTTTCTACTAATATCGTAGCCCTGTAAACTTCTAAACTGCTTATAAATTTAATCATTTTGTATTCATGGCATACTGTTTGTGTACAATAAATATCTTTTTTTTTATTTACTTTCCTTCACGGTGTTGGAATTTTAATGGCCAGTGGTGTATATAGAATTTTTTGTGATATCTGTGAGAACCTATATACGTGCATATTAAAATATGTCAAAGAAATTAAGGCAATATATTAAAAGTATGTAAATCCAGGCATAAAATACCAGAAGAATTTTTACATTAAAATGAAGAAAATAATTTTTTAATGGTAGTAGTTTTTAAGAAATTTTTGCTTGCACATGCCACTGTACTTCATGTGCATAATTAAATTTAATATTATTAAATATTATTGAGCAGTTTTTGTTATTTTTAATGTAATCAACAAAAGCTTCATTATCTACAGAAGAGCTAAATTATCATCTTATAAGAAAGAAATTTTTAATGTCACAGGAAACTGAAAAAAATTCATGTAAAATTTGAATCTGACATTTTAATAAATATTGCTACTGTAAAATTCTACCAAAGTAATATTTCAAAATTCAAAGGTAAGTTCCAAATTGCGTTAGCATTTAGAAGTAATTAGTAACCAGGATACATTCCTTTACGCCGTCATACCTATACGGCTTAGACCGGACTGGAGGGGCGTTTCCTGTGTCATTGGCATGGGAAACCACTTGACAGAAGCCAGGTTGTCGTTGAATAATGTATAAAAATTTCTTACCAATTTTTAGGCTTTTTCTTTTCTTCTAGTCCAAGGCGATCAAAGCCACTTTCGCCATTGCCCCCTCCTCTTCTTCCACAGCGTCCATGTGTACCTGCAAAGTTAATTCTAGAAATTAAGATTCACGCTAGCTGAGCGTAAGAAATCAACTCCCAAGATTACTGAAGTTAACAGATCCTTTACTATTAGAAAGTTGACTTTTTGTACTTCGTTTTTAATTTGCACATGCAACCCGATTTTTCCCATACAAACGCATTGTTTTCCCTGGAGGGCAATTACCCATAATCCCGTTGTTTTGAACAGTCTATCACGACGAAAATGCTTTTTAAAAAGCTTTTGCGAGAATAAACTATACTGAGCTTCTGTATCGAGAAGGGCAGGAGTCGGAACATTATTCAGTAAAATATGTATCTCTGGCAAGGCCAAATTTTGTACCACTACTAGTGTTCAAGTGGATTTTCTGAGGAACCTTTCTTCCCACTCGGTGACGGGGCCCCCTGTTCGATCATCGCGTTTAGTTTAACTTCTCCTTGTCCGCTCCTTTTTTATGTTGCTTTTTACATCCGAAAGTAGAGTTACCAGTCTTTCTGTTATCGGGCTTTTCACTTTTCCCCGTCTGCCGATACGAATTCTGCTGACCTTGAGGTTTCTTCTGCAGAGAAAACCTTGAATACTGGCGAAACTGATTTGCACGTGCGTTCTTGGAACTTTATTTTTGGTTCATGTTCGTGGTCGGAAGCCATTATAGCAGTGCACTCACTCACTCTGGAACTTTATTATTGCTAATTGGAGCAAGTTTTTCAATGTTTACGGGTTTCTGATTTCAAGAAAGTCCTGAACTGATTGACGGGAGTAAACGCGGTAATATCACTTCAATAAGCTCGCTATCCGGCCTCTTTCCATATAGTAAATTGATAATTTGAATTTTTCTTAAGATAAAATCTGTTACGTCTCCGAAATTCGTCTGGTACTTACTAAACAATTCTGATTCTAGCTTCGCATGGTCTTTCACAAATGGAAATGATTTTACAGCGCTACCTTGAAATTTTCCCAATTGTAACGCTTCGAACCTGGATCCCCCAACAAAAACTTGCCAATTCCTTTATTCCAGCTGAGAGCTTAGCCTTTTAGGTTCGTCGTAGCTATTGTAACTTTTTGCAGCTGGTTCACTGGATACAAGGTAAAATGTAGATCCAGCTGCTCCAGGAAAGTCATCATCGAGCCTTTGCTATCGAATGTTGCGGCTGGCTTCATTGCGGATCGCATTGTTTCGACAATGAATCCGAATCCCTCCATCGGATTTGCTGATGTCTGAGGGACCTGAAAGTTCGGAGGGGTCAATGAAAACTTTTCGTTTTCTAACGGCATAGTTCGTCACAATTATAAGGGCGCCAATGTAATGTTCCAACCTAGAATTTATAGCTAAATGTGTGGAACTTGTGAACTGGTAAGCGAATAATCGCTTTAATTCAGTAGACAGATACGTAAACTTGAGAAGGGTTAATTACCCTTTATTGCTCAAAATTTCGCAAATGGCCCTTTCTCAGGACGTACATAAACGCCTCCACTTAGGCTTGAACTCAAGAATATTAATAAATAAAATTCAACTAATGCTTAACTAAAAAGATATAGCCGAAGGTATCAAATTCTGCAGAAGTTGGCCCCTTAAATGCTAATTAAACGGCGAAGCTATCAAGAGTCTGAAATATGGCCGAGCGTAGTAAAAGCTAGAGAGAGTGTAGTCAAAAGACGAACGCGTGCTAGTCAGAATCTCTGGCTCTCTGACGAAGTAAGTGGAATTTCGACTTTAAGTACTGCTCTTACTTCAATTGCATTTAACCGCAATTCTGAAAACAACACTCTGGCAGGAAATTTGTAAGCTGAAATTAGAAGGGACATGAAAGTAGCTTTAACGAAAGATAACTGTTAAAACCTTAGGATAAACCTTACACGCTCACAGTGAAACATTATGAATGAACTAAACAAAAACTTTAAGAAACCAATTTGGTTACGTCTTTAGTACTTGGAATTCACTCATTAGGGTCTTTGAGACACAGAACCATATACCCTAAAAAAATGGAATCAGTTATCCCTATTGTGTACTTAAACAAAAATCCCGTTTGGAAGAGTAAAAAAGCAAAGCTTATTTACTATAAAAATCACACTAGTACAAATAACAGACAAATAAATTTTTTAAGTTACAAATAATAGAAAATTTTACCATAGGTATACTTAAGAAATCTACATTTAGAAAATCACTTCTTAAAGCAAAATGGCTGAAAATGATTATGTGTTTCCAGTTTTTGCAAAAACACATATTATTGAATGCGCTATAGGATTTCAAAATTCTATTAATTGATTTTCATACGCTTTTTGATCGGGGATCAAGTATCGTTGTAATGCCCATTCTGCTATACTGGTGAAGGAAGTTGTATGTTACTTACAACTCAGAGAGATACCAACGACCATCTGCGTGAGTAAGAGAAATTTCGCATCGTTTAGTGAATTCTCAGGCTTATAAGCAAAGATTAAGTTAAAATTTTATTTTTAATTTTTTGATTAGGAGAGATAATTCATGAGAAATTTATGTTTAGAGGGGAAAATTAAAACACATATTCTATAAAAACCGATTTCTGAAGAAAGAGTCCATCGTGTCAGTCAGAAGACACTATATCACATAGAGGAGTTCTATTGTCCTTTTACGTAACAAAATTATCGTCAAGCCCTCAACTAGAAAAAACTGCTTAACTTCTGTTAAACATTTCATTATTTGCTAGATTTAACATATTCTGAACTATATTCTTTTACGTCTGTGAAATCTTCCAAAAACCCTATGAATATATCATGAAGCATACAGAATTAAAGTTTGCACGTTGAAGACGAATAGTGGTGAAACTGTTTTCTTCAAATACTTCTTTCTTTCGTCTCTTTGTTCTAATGGGTTCAACAATAAAACTTTGCAGAATCACTCGGTTGTGCTAAGATAATCAATAAATCAATGATTGTTTTTTCAAGTAGGTTATTTTCTGTGCTGCTGAACTACAAATAAAATGCCTTGCTCTAAATAATACAAAAATAAAATATAAATAAGAGGCTATTATATTTTATTCTCTGAGATCACAATTTTAACTGCTTGCCAGTTGAAGAGTGACATGCATTATTGTCTTCTTCTAGCGCGCCCCAAAGCTCCAAGCTGCCGACCAAGCCACTTGGTGGGACACACTAGAAAAGCTTCAGAAACTCCTACGGAAAGCTGCACACTCTCTTTATGTGTCTGAGAAAATAGATCATGAGGCAATGCACAATTACATGATGTCTGGTGAGTGAATATCTCTTGCGTAAAACAGCTTCGTAAAAGTAACATTAAAAACATGCAGATTATATAAATAAATTTCATTTTCTTTTATTGGTAGTATTTATAGCATTTAATGATGAATAATTTTAGAGCTGAGTAACAATAATACTGAAGATATAAAAAGGATCTTTTTTGGTCAAAGTTTGCAAATTACATAATCTGATGTTCATCGGTCCTACGACAGTAACTTACTTAAGTCTACATATGGATAGTTGATACTCTAACAAAGCAGGAGCAAGTCTTCTCTCCCCACCTTATAATTAAGCCGAATATCAAAAGTCATGAGCAAATTTTTAACCGCTCGTATGCTGTCAAAAGTTTCCATAAAACTAGATAGGTATCGCTGTTTACGTATGTATAATTAAAAAAATATAATGAAGTAAAAATAATGTTAATTCATTAAAAAAGTGCCTTTTGCTGCTACAAATAATTTAAAACATGAAATGAAACGTTAAATTATGTCACTGAGTATCATTTTGTAACTTTTCCATGTAGGCTTGCTGTCATTTCTGCTTTTAGGACCTTACAATAGCTCTTAAATGATTAGAACGTTAAATAATATCAATCGTTATAATAATTAACATAATTTTGTTTGCCTTATCCATTTTATGTTGGTATTCCTTTCCGTTAACAATTTTATGTTGTCTTTTGAAATCAGAATATGAAACAAAAGAAAAAAATTAAAAAGCATTCAGATTTTAAGGGCGACCAAAAAGAGTTTTTTAACGTTTAATATGGTTTATCAGTAGAAATTATACACGGAGATGGTCCAGAAGGAAAAGAGAAACGTTTTATCGGATACTAGGTGAATATAGTACATTTAGGCTAACGTTGGAATGTGATATATCTTCTCTAGATTTAAAAAGTTAAAAAATATATAATTTAATTTTCTAGAAATATTTAATGTTTTTAATTAAGTTTATATTGATTTAAACGCATTTTTATTTAATCAGTGAAATTAAAAAATAGTAAAAAATAATGATAATAATAACAATATCTTTAAAATTGCATCTGCTTTTAAAGATCTTAGTTTGTTAATAAATAACAAACAGATTAAATTAAAAAGGTAAATATTTTACATTTTCCTGAATGGCAAGGGACTCGAATGAAATGTGAAATTGTGAATCAATGTGAAATCGTGTTTCGAGATTAATAGGTCATTTGGCCTAATCATTAACAACATTATAATTAAGTATTAAAATTATTAATGTAGATTTTTGGTTAAGATGCCAGCATTTTCGCTTTTTAAAGTGCTGAAATATTGATAATTGTATCATAAAAACAGTGAAGGTTTTTGATGCTGCCCTCTAGTGACAGAACGTGAAGTCATAAATGGAATTCTCAAAGTTTCCAATACAAGGAACCACTGCCTGGCATACATTCGGCAAATTAACGCTGTGGATATGACGAATCTTAAAGAAGTCAGCAAATTCATCGACACCTTGGGAAGGACAGTCGACATAGAAGCTCAAAGGTTGTTAACTGATCTTCGAGATGTCAGGCTTCCGGCAAAAATAGAAGCTTCTAATATGGTGAAGTAAGTTATTTTTTACTTTTAAGTTTCTATTAAAAATATATAATAAAAGGTATTAGTTCGTAGTGTTCTCACTAATAACACTGCTGAAATAATTAGAAAAATTTACTCGGCAGACGTACATAGAGGTATTAAATGAAATGTTTAAAACCATGGTTTTGCTTATCAACAATATGACCTATTAACATTCCGCCAAACAATTCTGACGGATGTGTAAAGGAATAGATCAATCTTTAATTAGATAATCACAGATTTAATAAACAGAAACTCAACCTTTGAGATTATTTAATAAATTCATTAAGACTTACGCCAGTGATCGTGGAAGGCGAAATTTCTTAACATTACTTAATAATATAGTTGTATTCATTGTGAACTAGGCGCAACATAGAAAACAATAATATAGTCATATACACTATGAACTAGACGAAAAATGAATGTTATACTTGTTCGCAGCGCCATTTTATCCAACCCCATACTTTCAATGCTTTGAATATGGGTAGCAGTATTACTAGCCCCGTACATTTGAAAATGCTCCACTGCTTGTTGTTCTATAGAAGGCAGATCCAAAATTTTAATAATCCTTTCTTCAAAATGTGACAGAATAACAGAGAAATAGTAGTCAACTTAATAAAAATTAAATTGGCTAACTGAGGATCGGATAGCCGAAACGTAAAAACTAAAACAAAGATCTTATGAAAGTGTTAGGACGCCACGCGGTATTTGACGACAGCTCTTGTTTGACAAAAATGGTTGACTGGGAAATACAGAAGTATTGTAAATTTTGATGCTGCATCCCTTCAATCATTCTCTATCTTTCCCATCATCCTCTCTATTTTGACCACCTGGTAGCCGAAAGAAAAATTAATAAAATTTGTATTATTAATTATTTACGTCCTAAAGACTGCTTTTTTTTATATTTTTGAAAAACATTTGGGTCAGCTTCAGGATTTGATATGATTAACATCATGGAAAACTAAATTTTGACAAACCTATTCCTCTCTATAAGACTTCAGAGTGTTCAGATTAAATTGCATTATTTTAAAAAAGTTGAATTTTGAGGGCAGTAACATATTTTCTGAAAAACGTACCAAGATTACGTTCTGAGTTTCTTATGTTTGTATTGATACATCTACCAAACGATTTGCAATGAAAATTTCGAAATAGATTCGTGTAGTAGCCCAAATAAAGATATTCGCTAAATAGAAGATATTGTGCAGCCAGCGGCGCCAACACTAATCTTAATTTGGTCTTGGTTACTAATAGCGGGAAGTGTCTGAACAGATTCTGGACAATTCAGATATTTTGAGATTGCCTTGACCAGCAGAGCTAACTGAGTTAAGATTTTATGAATACCTAATTGCACTGTTTAGAAGATCACGATTTTCTCTCTCATGAAATTTGGCATTCCATAAGAATTAGGAGTCTGATCAATAAGTTTCGGCCCAATTGTTTTATTTCATGGTATGTTTAACCTCATAGCTTATGAAATAATCTATAAAAGTATTATTAATATTGAAAAGTAATATTCATATCAAATATTGTTCGAGAGGTATATAAATCTTCACTAGTATGGTTCAGTAATATTCATGTTTTAAAGTTAATTTTCTTTCAACAGGTATACTATTAACTGGACTGGTAAAGAAGGTCTAGCAGTAAAATATCATGAAGATTATCTTCGCGAATTCACAGCTCATTTCTATAAGCACATAACTCGTTTGGTAGATCGTGCTATGAGGAAGGAAGATCTCAGTAGCCAAGGACACATTGTAACAGAGATACTACAGCATCTTCAAGCTGGGAAAAGTTCAGTTTCTACATTCCAAGGAAGAGAATATGAGCTGAATCGAATTAAAAGTTATATCCAGTCAGACTGTGTGCAGCCTTTTGTCCTTCATGGCAAAGGTGGTTCCGGAAAGACGTCTCTTTTAGCTAAAGCAGCGAGTATGGTAACCACATGGTGTCCCAAGGGAACGAAACCTATACTCATTCTTCGTTTTCTTGGTACTACACCAGATAGCTCTAGTGTCATACCAATGCTTACAAGCGTTTGTCAACAAATAATGTATAATTATATGATGCCTTGGGAAGGCATACCTGATGATCTTATACCTCTTATTGCTTTTACAAAACGTCTGCTGACGAAGATTACATATGAACAAGCTTTATACATATTTCTGGATTCAGTGGATCAGCTAACTGGTCCAAGTGATTCGAATAAGCTAACGTGGTTACCCACAAGGATTCCCGACAATGTTAAAATCGTAATTTCAACAGCTTCTGAAGGAGAGGCAAAGGAATATCATTTATTGAAGAAAATGTTAGGGAATGAAAATCAGTTTGTAGAAGTCCATCCGCTGGGAGAAGAGTTGGCAGAACATACAATGAAATGTTGGTTACAAATGAATGGTAGAGACCTCAATAAATATCAGTGGAACGTTGTGAAAAAAGCAATCAGTAAATGTACATTACCAATATTTATTAAACTAATATTTGCAGACGTTATGAGATGGCGATCTTATTCAAAAGCTTCAGAAACTATTTTAGCTTATACTGTAATGGACAGCATTATGAAACTCTTCGATCGCATTGAAAAACAGCATGGGCGGTTGCTGGTAGCTCATGCTCTATCTTACATCACAGCTTCCAAGAGTGGCTTAAGTGAAACAGAACTTGAAGATTTAATATCTTTGGATGATATAGTTCTAGATGATGTGTATCAGTATCATATGCCACCGGTTCGAAGAATACCACCTCTTCTTTGGACGAGAATTCGTAGAGACTTACCAAATTACCTTTCAGAGAGAGAAGCAGATGGAGTTAGTGTCTTGAACTGGTACCATAGGCAGTTCCGAGATGCTGCTATAGAACGCTACTTTGTGAAACCAGAACTTGTACAGTATTTCCATTCTTCCATCGCTGAGTATTTTCTCGGAACATGGGGAGGAGGGAAGCCCAAACCATTCAAATACACAGAAATACAACGTTACCGTTTCGGCCTCAAGGAACAAGCAGGTACAGCTGATAGGAAAGTCCCTTTACAACCCCTAGTCTTCTACACAAACGACGGTCGTGTATCGGGTTATAATAAACGAAAATTTGGAGAGTTACCATTTCATTTAGTTCGTTCACTACGCTATGAAGATCTTTTTGAAAATGTTCTTTTCAATTACATGTGGCTTCATAGTAAAATTAGTTGTTGTCCCTTACAAACAATATTGGCCGATTTTGAAGATATGGTGGAGCATCTAAACGATAGCGAACTTATCAAGCAACTGAATATAGTAGCTGACGGCATGAGATTAGGTGGTGTGGTCTTAGCCCAACATCCAGATATGTTGGCCTCCCAGATTATTGGAAGGCTTTTGCCAGTTAAAGATATATACTCAAGAGTCAAAGGGCTAATAGTACAGTGTGATAATTTAGGCACACAGCACTGTGCTTTAGTACCAGCTTTTCATATTTTACATACTCCTGGAGGACCTCTTAAATACTCCCTCGAAGGTCATCCTTTCGCTATTTTTGGATTTTGTCTTACCTCCGATCAACGTTTTGTGCTTACGGTTTCAAACAAGTTCCTCATGTTCGATCTTATGACAGGAGAAATTACTTGTGATGTCGATCCTGAGATACCTGGTATCATGCAAGCTTTAGCACTAAGCGCTGATGACAAATATGCCATAACTTATACAAATCATAACGAGATTATCATTCTCAATGCTTTATCTGGTGATGTAGAAATAGTGACAAATATGTTTGAAAGCAGACCTATTACTGGAATTGATATTTATAACAATATAGGCATAGCATGGACACCAAAAGAATGGGTCACTTTCCACGAATCAAATGGGGAAAAATTATCAGTTAATTCTATTGAAGAAACAGAATACTTTATATCACATGTGCATTTTTTGGATGAAGCTAACTACTCCATTGCGCTTTCGAGTCACAGGAAAGGCAAAGAGAACTTAAGAGCCAATCATCTATTAAGAACAACAATAAACGGAAATAGTATTAATGAACTTACCATTGATAGCGCTTTATATATAGTTCAAGAAAGTAATGATATTTATGCAACGCAGGATTTCGAGGACATTTACCACGTTTGCCATTTTAAAGCATCCACAGATGGGTGGAATAAAGTGAAGGATATAGGAGAAATTGAAATCCGAGTCATGGCACTAGAACTTTCTCCCGATGAACATTTTCTAGTGGGAACTACACCGGTAGGATTTTGTTTGTGGAATCTCGCAACTAACAAAAATGTATCATTACAGCTTCCTAGTAACGTCAAGAATATATCGACAAAACCGTTTCATTCCCAGAGCTCATTAGCTCTAACAAAGCATAACCAATATGCCGTTGGCGGCATCAGGAAATCTTTGTACATATGGAATCTGAAAGATGGACAGCTTTTGAAGGAAGTAGATGCTCACATTGCAAGGATCATGAAAATAAAATCTTTGATTATCGATGATTTCAACGGGATTGTGTCGTCTTCGATTGACAAAACTATAAAGGTGAGTTCATTTAAATACTCCTAAAAATAGTAATAAGATATTACACTTTTTGCAGGAAGATATCGTTTTTTAAAATTTGCAATAATAATTTTATTTCTTGCACAATTATATAGTAATGAATCGATCAGTTTTGATTTTTACGATAAAGTTACATTAATTACTGTAAATGCATTTCTTCAACAAATATTGTACATATATGAACTCTTGATATATAAACTAATGAATATTTTGCGAAACTGAATGCCCGTAAAATTTCCTGTTCAATTGTAGGGTTTATATTTATTTTAATTAACATTTATTTTAAGTTTAAACTATCTTTCCTGTCAAGCCTTACTTTCCCCTGGAATTGCCAATGCGAGAGTATGTAAATTTTAGTAGAACGCGCAAAGATTCAAATTGTCAGCGGAAGTAATCTGAGTTAAATAGAAGGGAAACGAGTTCGAAAGTGTGCTTTCTTGCTTCACGAGCGTGGAGGTGGCTAGTTAGAAATTGAAGAACCACGCGTTTCGGCCTGTGTGCTTGTCTCGGCCAATTGTTAATATTTCAACGTGATATTCAAAGTTTGCTGAATTAGCAGCGGTATTGTAAAACGCGGTGAGGTTAGTTACGTTTAAAGAGCCTCGTACTTAGTCTCTATGACTAAGTACGTACTTAGTCTCTATGACTCTCGTACTTACTCTTAGTTATTATTTCTTTTCAGGTTCTTACTTTTTTTTTTAACCGCCGGGTCGGCGTAGATTGTGAGCGTCAAGAGCACGCATTTGTAACTTCTAAAGTTGAATAAAAAGGGACTTAAACCCTTCGCAGGACTCTGTCAAATTTCCAGGTTCAGCAGTCCCCACTATTGTTGCGTGCAGGTTGGAAGCGCGCAACATTACATTGGCGCCCGAACACTTATCGAACTGAAAAACTGGATGGAAGCCCTGAAAATCCAACAACAAGAAATGGAAATTAGAAGATTTGGATACCTGGTCCAGACGATGAGAGCGTCAATCAAGCCAAACGTCAATTTCGACGGAAAAAATTTCGGTGGCGATATTTCTAGAAGGCCTCGACAATCACTTCATTTCCAGCTCTACCCTGTGCCTGAAAGACAAAAAGTTGCCATCGCCACATCTGCACTAAGAGGACAGGCCTCGCTATGGTGGAAGAATATAGGCAAATTTTTATTAGAGGGAATTCGGGGGCCAGACATATACATTTGAAAATTTCAAAAAAAAAATCGTTATTAAAGGCCTTCCCCATAGTGAAAGATCGAGCAAGGCTAGAAGCCGAACTATATAGTTAGTTTTTATCAACGGAATATAGAAGAGTTGACGGACTTTATTCTGCGAAAAATTAAGCTGACGGATATGCTGTATGGGAAGAAACCCGACGCGGAGATTATTGAAATAATCTTACCAAGATTGTTACCTGCTGTTTCAAGACTACTTCGAAATTAGAAAACTCAAGCACATTGCAGGAGCTCTTCGAATTGGCGGTCAAGTTTCAAAATCGCAGAATAGCGGAAAAAGCTAGAGGGGCATCGTATTCTCAAAGTATCCGAAAGCAATCTTCAAATGAGCAGACCAGAAATGCAAACCGCTCTTATGGGGGAAAGAGCTATCAAGCTAACTCATCGAAGCTCGAAGGTCAAGGCCCAAAAAGGAAATTTGAAAACAACCGTCCGCGTACCCAGAAGGCAGAAGTTGAAAGGAAATCTTTAAACGAGTAGACAGGCCTGTGAAAGCGAGGGTCCAGACCCCGGAAGTTTTGAAAAAACCCTCAAGAAGACACTTAAATACGGTCAACTCACAGTTACCAATTATACAAGTCCTGGTTGGCGATGTACCAGTAGAAGTCCTCATCGATACAGAAGCAGAAGGTAATTTTATGAGTGATAGTTTTTTAAGAAGAACTTTAATAGGTTTCGATTATTTAAAAATAAAAACACAGAAATCATAGCAGCGCAAGGACAAACTTGTCACTGTATTGGAAAATTATCTTTAAAAATTCAAGTTTAGAACGAAAGCCTTAAAATATTAATTTTTGTAGTAAAAAATTTGCAAAGTCTACTTATTTTAGGTATGGAATTTTTAAAAGCCGCGAAGGCCAAACTGAATTTTCAGGAAAGTTCTATTGTGCTGGAGATGGATAGGAGAGTGGTGGAACCAGTGGAACAACCGCAATTTGACCTTAGCCATTTGAATGACCATGAAAGTCAAGCCATCCAGCAAGTGGTGAGTACTTTTTAAACTTGTTTTCAGAACGGCCTAGTAGCTGTCAAATAGTTACGCATGAGATACAGTTAACTGCCAACAAACTCTGTAGGACTAAACCTTGTCGCTATGATAAACAAAAAGAGCAAATCATAGAAGAACATATTCAGGAAATGTTAAAGAACACAATAATAACGCCCATAAATAGTGAGTACGCGAGTCCAGTCGTACTATGTAGGAAAAAGAACGAGTTTCCTCCTTCGGATAAAAGGGCTTGGAGGTTTGCTATCGATCTCAGAAAACTTAATTGTATTACTAAATTCCCAGTTTACCCTTTGCCGGTTATAGAGGAAATTATTAGAAAGATTAAATCTACAAGATACATGACTACTTTGGCTACATAAATGAGTTAGCTTATGCTTTAAGAACGGCAAATCACGATACTACGGGAAAAACCCCAACAGAATTATTTTTAGGACGAAAGTTAATTACGCCTTTAGATAAATTATTCTTTGTGCAACAAAGAGAGCAAGAATTTAAACAGATAGACTTGCAAACACTTATTGACCAGGCGGTTAACAACTCGGATACGGCAAGAAATAGGCAAAAATTATATTATGATAGAAAACGCCGTGAAGCAGATTTTAAAGTTGGGGATAAAGTGTTGAAGCGGAAATTTTCTTTATCAAGTGCCCCAGACAATTTTACTGCAAAGTTAGCTCCAAAATTTGAAGGCCCCCTATGTAATTCAGGAAATCAAGGGAGTCGTATTGTACCTTAAAAAACGAGAAGAGGGAAATCTGTAAAGCAAGTCCCAACCAGGTGAAAAAATATTTATAATCAAAATGATTTTGAAATCCTTAAAAGTTTCTTGCAGGACTCAAGCGTAAAAGAAGTAGAAGGTCCAGAAGTAACGTCACCCGTTCCACCACCCAAGAAGCAGAGAACTGAAGAAGAAACCTAGCCCTTCTACAAGTCATGCGACGGTACCGAAAAGAAGAAATGAAAACAGTCAGACTCCAGCATTTAAGAAATACAAGAAAGCAAAGCCGCCGCGTAAAGAAACTGTGGTAAAGAGGAAAACACCACTTACAACGTATCGCAGTAGAAATTCTACATCGAGGAGAACGCTTCCAGGGCCAGAGAGTCAGGTGCAAACAAGGCCGCCGTTCCCGAGAACGAAAAGACAGCAGGAGAAACGAAAAGACCACCACCAACAGAAGAAATTCAAGCATGATTCCAGACCGGAAGACACCAAGACCAGCCTTCCAGGGGCAAAACGGAAAAGAGAGCAACCCGACGACTACCACTCCAAGAGGCCAGCATGCAGAGGGCGAAAATGAAAAAGCAACGTGGACGACACTCGAAGGACCCTAAGGAGACGACTGACGTCGATGAAACCTATAACGTGGGAGCAGTTCTGCCAGAAGAGGATGTCGGAGTTCCAATCATCGAAAACTCAAAGATAAGTTAGAATCTTCTATAAAATGTTTTTCTTTTGTTCCGAAATGTTATGCGTAAATACGAAGTTCTATGTTTTGACGGAAGTCAATGTGTCTCTGTTGAGACTTAGTTTTATTTCACTTTATTTAGCTAAGGCAAAAGTATTATTTTCTTTAAGTATAAAATCTAAGAACAAGCAGTTTCTGTTGGTCGAAAGACTAATTCTGTTATGTTAAAGCCAAAATTTGGCCAAAGATAAAAATAACTTCGTATTCTTGTATTAATAAGAACTTTAGTTTCAGTGCCGCCAGCTTGGCGAAGAATAAGTAAAGTAAAAATTTATTTTTCTCTTATTCATTTTATGGTAAATTGTAAAAATTATATGGATTAGAATTTTGTAAATATACGTAAATCCTTGAAAGTTATGTAAAAGTAGAATTTAGTCTAGAAGTATAAAATTTTAGATGCTAAAAGTAAATGCTCAAAAGCAATGAATTCAAATTTAAGTATTAAACTGTAGATAAAATCATGCTTTAGAGCGAAAGCCTGCATGTCCTAAAGATGAATGAGGGGGAATTTAGAATGAATGTGTTTTGTAGGTTCTCCACCTCCACCTACACTTGAATTTTAAGAATGTTAAAGTAGCTCATCGAGTTGTAGAATGTCGAGTAAGGTGTGTCTATTTGGTCGTTGAATTCTAACAAATCATTGTGGTTAGGGGAAGTGTTGCAATACTAAAACACGAATATTCTCGTTTGACACCACACACGGTGGAGAGCCAAGTTAAATTCATGTTTGAATACTTGAATGAATGTGAATTAAGCAGTAACTAAGGAAATTAAATCGTTCAAAAACAAAAAACTTATTCAGTGTCAAGAAAGTGTAAATTATAATGTATTTAGAAAGATACTGATACTTATTCCTTCCAGATGTTCTCTTCCTTCCAGATGCTGGAAGGAAGAGAACAGATTGATTGCTGAAGTCCAGGAAAGGTTGCTGTAAGAAGAGAGAATTAAACAAGTATCTACAGAAATTTATTCTACCTTTTGTGAGATAACAGATTTTTTTTTTATGTAAAAGAGGCTCTTAAAATTTAGTTCAGAATTGTGGAAACTTTTCAACAGGTCGTTTCTAGGACCTCCTTCCAAATTTACCAAATTCTGGCAGCGGAAAATGTAGGGTTTATATTTATTTTAACTAACATTTATTTTAAGTTTAAACTATCTTTCCTGTCAAGCCTTTACCTTTCCCCTGGAATTGCCAATGCCAGAGTATGTAAATTTTAGTAGAACGCGCAAGGATTCAAATTGTCAGCGGAAGTAATCTGAGTTAAATAGAAGGGAAACGAGTTCGAAAGTG